TGCTATAATGTTCCTATGGTCTGACGGCGTCTTGGGCAGCGGCGGGACCAGGTTATTACTGGCTATCTTTTTATTCTTCCCGGGGATACAAATACGTCAAAAATGATGTATGACACTAATCAAGAGATATATACTTTATATAAATAACAATAGTTACATGAGATGACGATCAATCATATTCAAAGTACCTTCCAAAGGCTCATCAAGAAAAGGATCAATCATCCTCAATCCAAATTTCAAATTTAAATCCAAAACCACCATGTATTAACTTATCTTTACCATGAGAAAATTTAAGGTAGGTGGTTCCTCCTGTAACTATGTCAATTAGATGTACCAATTTGCTCAAAGATGTTTTGGTCCAACAAATACTGTTCTCTGATGGGAAGTCCTTTGATCATGAAATTTAGTATGTAGATAGAAGATTCGAAGATGAATCCAATTGTCCATATTTTACCTGTGACTAAGTCAGTTAGACGCACCAATTTGCTCAAACATGTTTTGGTCCAATGGGCTCTCTTATGGGAAGTCCTTTGTTCATGAAATCTAACATGCAGATAGAAGATTTGAAAGATGAATCTAATAGTCCATATTTTGCCTCATTTGTGTCAATATTGAAGGAGGAATGCCTCATCGAAGTCAAGGGATTTTTTCTGCAAATATGCGTAGCAAATTAGTCAATTACGAATCAAATATCTTCCTCCTTAGGAAACATTGGCTATTTGAATTGGATATGTTGCACATGCGATTATGAATAGCATATACATCAAATTAGGTGGAAAACTGCCTTATGGTTTAGGGGATATGGAGGGTCCGTCGGTTAAAATAAGATACAATTTTGTGCCATTGTTTTAGTCTCAGCCACGTTTACATGAGACATTCTTAAGATGTTGCCCACTCATAATTGATAGAGTTCTGAGTTAGGAATTTAATAGTTTTAGTTACATGAAAAAACTCCCATATAAATTGAGAGAAATCTTCCTTTTAGCAACCATATGTCCTCTTGTTTCTTATGCATATGTCTACCTGACAATGCATTTGGGTCTTAATTGTGAAGGGAGTGATAATGGAATCAAACCTCTTTCTATGGGTTGGAAGCCTTCGCAAATAGTATTAACACTCCTCTAATACAATTTTCCCAGAGTTTCCATGTCGATTTCCAAATCCCGAGGGTGGGTCAACCGGTTAACGTATATCTTGACCGATGGTAGATCAGGAGATCCTATCAAATAATGTCCAAACTTGATTTTTGGATGGAAGGCATATGATAGCCAAATATTAGTAATTGTAAAGTTTTACCTCATTCTAATATGATTCAATGAGGTTTCCGAGCGCTGTTAAACTTCTCTTAAACGCAGAATCTCTAAAGATCAATCAATTCATATCCAAACTTCTCTAATATTGGGTAGAGAAACATATTATGACTTGGGAATATAGATCCCATAGTTTGCTCTCGTATTGAGATGTCTTGACAGCCTTTTGAGTGGGTGTGGCCATGACAGCAAGGCTTTCACAACCTTTGAGTGGGTGTGGCCATGACAGCAAGGCTTTCAAGCATATCAGGCATGATAGCAAGTCCATATTCTATTAGAACTCTTGATATGATATTTGATGTATATTTTCATTACGTGGCACCATTTGTTAAGCCTTTAGGTGCTTGACGACCATTCGATATTAATATCCTCTTATCTTTGAACTAATCTTGACCATTGATTTCATTTCTTTTCCTTTGAGTTAAGTATCTCAAAATTACAGCCAATACCTTGTTATTTGGATCGATAATCACCGATTTGAATCAAGAATCAACAAAGGATGAATCGGTCCCAATAACTATCGAAAACAGTTCTAAGCATATGTTGGATCGATGATTCTTGTCTGAGAAGCAGGGATCTTGTAAGGGAATTAGGTGACTTAGATTGGCTAGATTATTAGTTTCCATGCTTTATATTTTTATTATTTTTTGTTTTATTTTTAAATTTTTTTATTGATTGATTCTAACCCCAGAGAATTGGTTAAATTGCTAATCCAGATTGGCAAATTGTCGATCTAGACTAATCTCCTGAATGACTAGTTCGACTAGCCAATCAACGTTAGTAATGGGTGTTAATGTATTATTGTCTTTCCCAAATAGTGAGTGATACTTAACCCATCAATCACGGGGATTATATGTGTCGCACGTAGAAATGAAATAAATGATTACATAAAGGGAAAAGTTTATATAGAGCTGAGGCTTTAAACAATCAAATTAGAGCATACTTCAAAAAATTCACTAGCAGATGTTTTGATGTCCAAATATCTTCAAATCGATAATCTTAACATCAAGACGAATGGACATGAGAAAAAAATGGATTTCATGTTTTGAAAATAGTTATCTTGTAATGCATTTTTTGACCATCAAGTTTCAAGATTTTCAAGTTTTCATAGATGTGCTTGACCTACATTGTTTTATAATTAGATATAAAAATATATTTTAAGGCTATGACAAATATTTTCAATGTTGAAACCACAATTCTCAACACTATTTAAAAGGTGAGCTCTACTTTGATTGTTTAGGGCCTCGGCTCTATGCAAAAAGCACCCTTACATAAATAATCACAAATATATAAAATCAAGAGTACATAGATATGCAATGAACGTTGATATTAATGGTTTTGTAAACATGCAATTGAATAGTACATTGATATGCAATAAGCAATCACATAAATAATCACATGATTTTGCAATGACAAAATGCATATACAATGAGAATAGAAGAATATCAAATACTTCAAAGAGCAAAAGGAAGCAATAACCTTCTCTTTTTGCTATTCCAGTGGTGGGAATGGCCATATTTATAGATTTAAAATTTTAAATCATTGGATAAATGTATAAAATAGAAAGACATAGGCCCTTGAAAGAAGATAAATGCTAATAGAAGAGAAAATGAGATAGAATTATATTTGTTGGAGTTCAAAAATATTTATTTAGAAATAATAGGAGAGTTGAGGATTGGAGAGCATGGGTTTTTTATCTTTTCTTCTTTCTCTAGCTATTTATAAGCAAAATTTAAAAATAATTACAAATAATATGAGACTTGAGGATTCAACATGGTTTTCAAGTTTCTTTTTCTACCTCTAAATATATTTATAAATAATGGGAGACTTGGGGAGACTTGAGGATTGGACAGAACATGATACTGATTTTTTTATTCCTATATCTAAAAAATTGATGCTTCTGATATATGAGTGGTGTAATCTTTCAATGGGAGAGAAAGGAACTCCTCTTTTTTGAAAAACGTTTTTTAAGGACACATAACTCCTCTGTCTAATACACCAAGGATTTAGAGAGAGAAATTGCCAATGAGGGCTCTCTAAATCTCCCTCGATCTCAAACCTGTGAGGATATAAAATGGGTTTCTTATTTTCTCTGTATAAAAATTAAAAAGACTGAGATGAAAAAAAGATATAATTCTCTCTATTTTCTATATCTACACAAGAAGGACGAGAAATTAGAAAGTTCTGTTTTATATTGAAAACACCAAGTAAAAGTTTCAAAGACACTGTGCCAGGGAAATGGGGCAAATTATATTTGTTAAAAAAGTAGAATTTCCTTTTTGTGGTTTTTTGGTTTTTAGAGGCGTAATTTTGGGCATATGGTGATTTCTTAATTAAAAGCACATTTGTGAATGGTCACTTTTCTTCTCTTTTGCCCTTTTCCTATTAATTAATTTCCTGTTTTGTGATTTCTAATAATTTATCCAACGCACTAATGGCAAATGTGTTGGATAGGCTTTTAAATTTATGAAACTCAATGTAAAGCAATGTGAAATTAGAAGAAAAAAAAAAACAAAGAACAATAATTTCAAAAAACTGTTTAAAAAACAATTAATAAAAAATAGGAATAAAAAAGAAGAAACTTATAATCAAATTTCTATTTTTGAAATTTCTTGGTTTTCTTATTTTTTTGAAATTTCTACTTTTATTCTTTGAAAACTAAAAAAGGAGAAGAGAAAAAAAGTTTATGAACCTATATTGTCATCTCTTATCTCTACCAATTTTTTGAAGAGAAAAATTTTGTCTTAAGATTTCTTTTCTCTACCATTACAATCCCAATTTAATGAAGAGAATGAAAAATAGACTACAACAATGAAAATACCTCTTGAAAAAATCTAATTTGTAAGAATGTCGAAATTCTAAATCATAAGGCCTCTCACCTAATTTATGCACTAAAATAACGACTCATCAAAGCCATATAGTTATCTTTTGCTTCTAGGGAGAGTAGTTATTGATGGAAATGAATTTCTTGAGACAGAGCAGTTATTGTTGAAAATTTGGTTACCAAATTTGTTTGTAAAATGATGGAAAGGGTTTAATTATAAAGTGGGAAAGGAACCACTGAGTACAAAAATGTGTTCTTCAATGTGGATGTGATGGTTTAAGTACCCAACAACTATTAACGAGTACAATACCCAACAATGACTGTACCTATCCTACAATCTATCTCAAGATAGATTTTTTTTTTAATTATTTTACTTATTTTAATAGGATTGTAATTAAATAATTTATTATAATATATATTTATTTTAGAATTTAAAGTTCTATTTTTTTTTTTTTCACAACCATAATGTTCACACCTAGGTGATCGATATAAATGCTTTTCCATGCTTGAATTGTAATTTTGAGGAGTTAGAAGTGAAGCTTTATTTTGCTTTATTTTTTTTTGATAGGGTTGCAGCCCTGTCAAATCATTTTTTTTACTTAATTTCAACGAAAATAAAAATAAAAATAAAAAATAAAAACAAAACCGTGTCAATTAGAGGGACCATTATGTCATTTTTCAATAAATTAATGTATTTTAGTCATTTTACATGAGCAATTTTTTCTTTTTGAAAAACGGAGCCAAGGTCACATGAGGTCATTAATCCAAGAGAATAGACGTGACGCCTCTCCCTCTCTCTTCCCTGCGTTTGACCGTTTTGGTAACGGAATCCGTTAAGGGTATAAAATAACGGCATCAGCGAAAACCCGGAGGAGTTGCAGACGACCCGCTCTGTCCGTCGGTCCGAAACTTTTTCGAGAGAGAAAATTAGAGAGACATGGAAACCGTGAGACTGTAGAGAGATAAAAAGCTTCACAGCAAGTCAGAAAAGTCCTTTGAGAGAGACATTTTTTCTAGAGAGAGAGAGAGACGTGGAGACCATTGGGAGGGAGACGGAGAAATCCTTGTTCACGGAGGGGAGGCATTTTTCTGGAGAGAGAAGAGAGGCATTTTTCTAGAGAGGGAAAGGAGATATCCTTGTCTTGGGCAGGTGGAGAGCAGACAGATCTTTAAAGCTTTTTGTGTGTGCTTCTCTGACATTCTCTCTCTCTCTTCCCTCTCAAGGGCGCCATATCTGTTGGAGTTGCAGCATCCGATGCCGCCGCATTGATGCAGAGGAACCCTTCTCTCTCTATATGTATCTAAATAACTCTGGCGATTTACAGATCTCTCTCTCTCTCTGCTCTTTCTCACTCTTAATTCTTGGTTCGCGATAGAGGATCCTCTGCTGGTTGGTAATTCTCTCTCCTCGAACTTCATTTCTATTCTTTTATTCTGTGTCTTATTCCGATTGTTTTATTTGTGAAAGATAAGTTTTTAGGGGTCTTCTGGTTTCAAGGAAAATGCCTAGGCTTTGAGACCTGATTCTGTGGGTTGTTTTTTAGTGTGTTTTGGCCGAGGTCGCGTTTTAGGATTTCTTTTAGGAGGATAGAACGGATTTTTTGTGCCGGCAGGTGGTTCTAGATAGCAAGTTAGTTTACTTATGTGATTTTCTGTATAAATGTTGATTTCTTCATATAATCAGGTTTTCTGAAGAAAGTTTTCAGGATTTATTGTGATATTCTTTAAATTTTGCGTGTTGATCAGAGGATGATTTTGTTGGTTCTCTTTTTGTGTCCAGGATTTATTGTGATAATTCTTTCAATTTTACCTGTTGATCAGAGGATGATTTTGTCGGTTTTCTTTTTCTTTTTTCCCCATACATTCTGCAATTTTTCCATATGTAAGCCTCCTGTTTCTGGTTTTGTGGTATTTTCTTTCTCCTTTCATTTCATGTGAATCTTTTAACATCTTGGCTCTTGGGAGATTGAGATTTTGAAATGCAATATACCTGTGTAGTCTCTGCAAGAAGCTGCTCTTTAGTAGAGGGAGGTTTATTTCTGATAATTTTTTCTGTTGAAGATCCCCAAACTGGCTTCCTGTCTAGCTTTAATTTTTGCTATATTTATGAATATATCATCAAATATGAAGGCTTTTGACATTGTTTCCTGAGTATTTTATTGTTCAGATATATTCCCATAATGTTAATCTTCCCTATTTCATTTTGATGCCAAAAACTGAACGGAGGGTTTTCTTCTCCTGCATCTGCGAGAACCGTTTATCTGTTGGGCCTACCTCATTCCATTTCGCGTTCTTCATTTTGTTCATGTATTTGACTAAGGCCTGATCGACCACCATTTATTCCATTTCTTGGGGTTGTTGTGGTTTATGAATACCTTAAGGCCTAATCAACCCCGGTATTCCATTTTGAGTATCTGATGAAGTTTATGAATTCCTAATAAATCCTATTCAACCCCCTTGATTTTGGTTTCCTGATACTGTTTATGTGTATAAAGCCCATTCAATTACTTATCTCTCGTTATTTCGTTTTTTCCAATGAGGGTTGTGAAATCATACAAGGGGAATCAATTCCTCCATCATTCCATATGATGGCTATTGAAATCATATTGAATGTGTTTAATGAGATTGTGTGAAGGCTAATTAAATCCCTTTCATTCAATATTTCAATAAGGTTTATGGGCTCATGTGATGTCTAATTAAATCCCCTTCGTTCAATATTTCAATATGGTTTATGGGTTCATGTGATGGCTATTGAATCTTAATGTTCTTTATGGCGATTTCATGTTGGGTTTTTTATTTGGTTTATGAATTTGTATAGAGGTGCTATTCCATCTTGGTTTTCTGATGTTGTTTATGAGTTCATACATAGCTGGTCTGTCTTTCTTCTTCAAGTTCCCAACTGAAATTTCTGCAATTTTTCTGAGCAGCCTCACCTCTGAAACTCCCGTAGCCCTATGATCCCTAAGAGAAGAAAAATAATTTCAAGCAGAAGAAGTTTCTGAGGATGGAAGAGGAGCAAAGACGGAGGCTCACTCTCTCCGATCAACTCTCAGTTCTGCAATCACTGCACCTTCGAGACTTCCTCAGAGCTGCTGCCCAAGAACCCAACAGCACCAACCATGAAATCCAAAATACCTCTTCCAGCCTAATGACCCAAAATCGAATCACTCTTGGATCTGTTCTTCAATTCAACAAAACCACCAATGAATCCTCCGAGACGAGCAAGACCCTCCTTGACATAATCAGAGATGAGGAAGAGGAATCCAACCCATGTAGAATAGTTGCAAACAACAAATCAGGCTGGAAAACTTTCAAAAATCGACTTGGTTTTCGTCGAATCGCTTTTTGTGGAAGCACATGGGGCAACAACTATTCCAGCCAAATTCCAGCCCATTCCCAGCCTATAGAAGACCACCAACCGCTCCAAACTTTGCTAGAAAACTCGACAGAAACTACAGAGCGAGTCTCAGAAGGTGAAGAAAACATAGAGAGACCTTCAACAGGTGGAGAAAACACACAGAGAATCTCAATGGATAGAGAAAACTCTGAGAGAATATCAGGAATGAACTTAGCAGCTGCTTTGGCTGCTGAGAGGCAATGGCGACCACCATCTCCTATGCCGGAATCTGCGAGGCCTTTGCCAGAATTGATACCGGAAAATGTGGCAACACCTTTGAGGATGTCCTTGATGGCTTTGTTAGAGGAGGGAGAAGGGGGACGGTGCATGGTGGGGCAGAGTATGGCTTTAGAGGAGGAAAAGGAAGAGGAAGAGGTGGGATTGGTGGTTGGCTCAGGGTGTTGCGTATGCATGGTGAGGAATAAGGGAGCGGCATTCATTCCTTGTGGCCATACATTTTGTAGGGTGTGTTCAAGGGAGGTTTGGGTGAGTAGGGGGTCATGTCCTCTGTGTAATGGGTTTATTAGGGAGGTTTTAGACATTTTCTGATTGTCGGTGAGAGGGGCTTTCGGAGTTTTGAGGCTGGGATCGTTTTGGGCTGGATTTTTGTTGGTCTCTGTGTAATTCTTGGAGGGTCCCTTATCCGTTGTTGGTCTCTGTGGAGATGGGAGGAGTGGAAGGAGGTGGTGGTGGTTGAGCTAGTACCATCCATTGACCTTTTATTGTTTCCCAGCAATTAGGGGATCAGTTCTTGTGAGATGAGGGTCCCTTATCCACTTAATTAAATATTGATGGATGTATATGGAGTAGGAGGAATCTTGATGGATGTGTATGGAGTAGGAGGAATCTTGATGGATGTATATGGAGTAGGAGGATTCTATCTCTCTCTCTCAGTTGATTTGCTCTCTCGCTTACTGTATGTATCTCTCTGGCAGCCTGGCAACCTGTGTTTTATAACATGGAACCTTTTGAACTGTTCCCGATTAGCAATTCTAGTTTGGGAATGCCCAACCATTAATCTCGATTCTAATTGAGCGATTCAGGTCCATATCATCATTTTTTAAAACACTAATCATTATGCATGTTGCATGCGTGGAATAGAAAAACTGAGTCTAGTTTAGGAGAGAGAACATAAGAACCGAGATAGTTTAGGAAAGAGAGGCAGGAAATAGTTGCCGGGGCATTTTTGCTGTGATGTAAGCAGAAAAGAGGAGTTTATGTGGGGTGGGAGGATATAAAAGTAGTAAGAACTAAAGTTGAAGTACAGTGGTTGCAAACATGGAATGTAACGAAGAAATAAGAAGTGGTGAAACAAAAAGAGTAGTGATAAGAGCCAAAACACATATGATATTGGAATCAAGAATAGAAAAATATGTTTGAACCGAACGCTAACAAAGAAGACTCTCTCTCTCTTCTGAAAAAGTTTATATAAGTGTGGGGCCGTAAACAATCAATTTAAGGCGCAGCTTAAAAATTCACTGGAAGAGGTTATTTCAATGCTAAAGAATCCTCAAATTGATCATCTCGACTTCAAGAATGGACATGAGAAAAAATAGATTTAAAGTCTCGGACATAGTGAATCATGGAATGTATTATCTAAATCATCAATTTTTCAATATTTTCATGTATTCATAGATATGCTTGGTCTATAGTATATTTGAACCTTTAAATTTTTGAATTAGAGATAAAAATAATTTAGGCCATCAAAATTTTTGTTTGATACTAAAACATTTTAGGCACTATTTGAAAGTGTGCCTTAATTTGATTGGTTAGGGACTCAACTTTATACAGAGGGCTTGTACGCACACACACATATATAGGAAAAAGTTTATAAAGAGCCGAGGTTCTAAACAATTAAATTAGAACCCAGCTCAAAATTTCACTAGAAGAGGTTGTTTTGATACTCAAATATCCTCAAATTGATTACCTTGAGGACATTAAGAGGAATAGACATGAGAAAAAAATAGATTTCAAGTTTTGAAAATAGTGCATCTTGCAACTCATTTTCAACCGTCAATTTTCAAGATTTTCAAGTTTTCATAGATATGCTCCATCTACAAGAAAGGTTAGGGTCTAAACCTTTTTTGTATATAAAAGAAAGGTTTATATATATGAATATGAAAAATGGAAAAAATATTTTGAATATAAAAAAAATATATCTAAATTTTTTATAATTAGATATCAAAATAGATTATGAAACCATCCCAAGTACTTTTCGACATTAAAAATGCTTTTATGATAAAATTTGGAGGCCCGCCTTAACTTGATTGTTTAAGGTTGCATCCTTATGCAAATCACACCCGTAGCATATTCGCTCGAGCATGGGATAAGATGCTTTGGCATTACGTTTTATTTATTTATTTATGCTAAATGATCTCATGCTCCCATGGGAGCATACTATCAATATACTTGATCAGTTAAAATCTAATTTGGGCTACAAAAATTTGGGGATGTAACATCCTCAACAAATAAATTAACGTCAAAAAGTAAAAATTCCAATGGTATTTTCTATGCACGAAAATTGTCCAATATTTTGAGGGCGAAATTGAACTATTAGAAAAATTTAAATTCAAATTTCTATTTTTAAAGTAATAATCTAATTAGTAGTTTCTCAAAAGTTTAGATTAAGAAAAAAATCTCCTAGATAAGTTTTTTGCCCAAGAGAGTAGTTTGCTAGTATGCCCCTGCAAAAACAGGGTATACGTGCTCTTAGTTTATCATGAAAAGGTGGGGAGTGAGCGCAAGATCCAATAGTGAAGTTGCCCTGCCATGACTCTCACGCTGGACCACTTTTGACTATGCACGATATCCGATGATGGAATGGATAGCAAGAAGTTAAGAAAATTATTTGTTTGGACTTTCAAAGTCCAAATACGCTTGATATGCATAAATTTGTTTTATGAAAGTATTTCACATGAAAAATTCTATATGCGATTAATTGTGTGAGTTTTTTCAAACCAATTGATTATCAATTGGTGTGTTAAAAAAAGGCTATGTGATCGATTGATGTAAGAAAAAACTTCTACATCTAATCACATAAGGGAGTTTATTCATGTGAAAATACATTTGTGAAAATATTTTCACGTATACCAAATGTGTCCGAAGTATAATTTTATAATAACGGTACATCAGGAGTATGATCATAAAGTTCTCATACTTAATACTCATAAAAGCAAGTTATAACAATATTTATAAGTCATGCTTGTTACTATATGATTGCCATACGGTGATTTTTTTTGTTTTGACAATATTCAACTTTTTCTGATGAGTAAAAGGAAAGTTTACAACAAAGAACTTGCTTTCTCAGAAATAACCAGAACAAATAATGAAGCACTCCTCTTAGCAAGTTTATTAGCATACTCATTGGACTCCCTATGAATAGGTTGAAAAGAATTCGAAGAGAAACCGCTAAATCTAAAATTTGCATCCAAAATCACCCCAAACTCCATGACACTCTTTGCTCCTTATTGCACCACTAAATGTCATTCAAAGATTCTCCTCCAATAAAAAAAAAATCCCATAATATTTTAACTTAAAAAATATTCAGCCCCTACACATGAGAGGTTCACTTTGCATGATTAATTGTAGTAAGCCCACACAACCCTGCATAACTAAATATAATATTGCCATTCCAATCTCTCACTACCCTCGCTAATCCAGCTATACCCGAGTTCGCAAAAGAACTCCCATTAAAATTGAGTTTGTAATAGCCTTTTATAGGAGTTTTCCACCTTCCTCTCCATCGACATTTAACGATCCCCTGGTTCAACAAGCTTCCCAGATTTAAGAAAACATCAAACTCAGAGAGACCCTATCCTTCCTTAGACAACAAACAATAAAGAGTATGTTGGATGACACTCAAAATTCTCCCCAAGGGCAAGGAGCTACCCTCAAAAGTCCTCCAATTCTATTCCTTAAAAATATTCCATAAAATAGATGCTCTTAAAAATTTCCACAAGACCTACCCATAGGCAAACATAGTAAGTTAACTTTAACAAAATGTCCATATGATTAAATGTTAGCATCATCAAGACACCTATTTTTTGAGAACTCGAATTCCAAATCCCAAAAGCAAAATGACAATGCAAAAATAAATGAGTCATATATACTCCATTCTTCTTGTACAAAAGACATATATTAGGTAAAATCTTCCCCCGCTTAATCAAATTATCAACAGTTAATACTTTATCTTGCAAAGCCAACCACAAGAAAGCTTGGATTTTATGGAAAATATGCCACTTCCAAATTTGAGACAAATGTGGTTGAGACTATCTCATAAAACCATGAAAAGTAACCAGCAATCTAATTTCGTTGTGAATTGTCCATCACATTCTATTTCCTAAACAACCTCATCTTCTGCGTTGTTAGAGATACAACATAATTCCAGACCCTGAAGTAACCCAACATACTTTGATAGAATACCATATCGTCGTCTGTTATAAGGAAAATTAACATTCTACACTATTCAATTACCTGCACAATCAATAACTTCATTAACTTTGGCCAATGGCAACATCACTTTACCGAGAAGATCTGGGAAAGAGATCTTAAGTGGTCTATCTCCAAACCACTTATGAAGACAGAAAGATACTCTACAACCCTTGCCTACAATCTATCAAACATTCCTCTCCACGTTAGGTTTGCAACTATAAATGGCTTTTCACATATTGGATTGATATGCCCCACCTCTACATTTACCAATCCACTGAAGCTACCTATCCAACCCTTACTTAGCTACCAGGACTTGTCTACACAGCTGATCCTTATATTGAATGCTTCTTCACAACCACTTGGATAGCAAAGCTCTGTTTAGCAATAAATTTTTCCTAATCCCCAGTTCTGCTTCTTTCTTTAGCATACTTGCTTTGTCCCCCCTTAGTAGATGATACTTCATTGCACACCGAAATATCCCTCATAAAAAGTTCCTTACATAATTCAATCCTCTTAGCAATAGTAGTGGGCATTTACATAATAGACATTTGATAAATTAACAAGTTAGCAATATTTAATTAACATGATCCTCCCCTCCCCAAAGATAGTGTAAGGACCAAGATTTTTAGGCATGTTATAGTGTGCCAGTGGGTCACCGGCAGGGAGAGTTTGACTGTCGTGCATAGCAGTTTAGGTGCCGCCGTGCGTGGCGGTGTGTGTGTTGTCGTGCGTGGTAGTGTGTGTGTCACTTGCGCGGCACTGAGAGTGAGAGCCGTGCACGACAGTGAGAGACAATAGAGAAGAGCGCTGTCGTGAGCGAGAGAAGAGAAGGGACGACTGTACGCAATGCCGCCGAGCGTGTTCATGCCGTCAAGCGCGTTCATACCGTTGTGCACAACAGGAAGCAGCAGACACTGCCGAGCACGTTCATGCCACCGAGCGCGTTCATGCCGTCGTGCGCAATAGGAAGCAGCAGACACCGTCGAGCGTTTTCATACCGCCGTGCGCAATCAGAAGTAGCAGACACCACCGAGCTCGCTCATGCTGCCATGTGCAACAAAGAGTTCATACCTCCGAGCGCAGAGTCTCCCATGATTGCTTGATGCCACTTGTGTGCCATGAGGATGCCACTTGCCACTTGTGAGCCATGAGGATGCCACCTGCCACTTGTGTACCATGTGGATGCCTCTTGATGCCATTTGTTACTTGCATGTTGCCCCTTTTTTTTCTTATTTATTCACCCCTTCACACCCCTCCATGGGGTTTTTGGCCACTCTCTTTTCTCTCTGCCCTCTCACCCACGTCCTCCCTTAAGGCCTCAAGACCCTAAGCTTGAAACCATCCCTTGAAACTTGGTATTTTTTAAGAGAAACCTGTATGGGGGAAACTTGGAGTTTTTTTCGTACATGGTAAGTAGATCTAGCATTCAAGCTTCTATGAGTGAGTTTGATTGTTTTACATGAAGTATAAGCATAGCATAAGTATGTTTTGATGGGGATGTGGCTGCATGCTAGTAAATTTGTGCTTGTTTGTGCCTTGTTTTTTCAGGAATATGGTTCTCATTAGTGTGATAAATTGAGTACTAAA